GGCTCTAAATGAGAATAACCTCTCAACGGCGTGTTAGATCCACATTTAAATAAAGTTTTATCATGTTTTAACCAAAGAAGTCACGCTGGGTATTTCATTATGACCTTTAGATTAGAAATTATGCTCTTCCATGCCTGAGTGGTTCATAATTAATGAGTTATTTTTAAGCCTCATAGATCTTCCTCTGACCTGAACTGCCTTCTTTCTGTTCCTCTGTGTGTTGAGTAAAGTACTGAGTCTGTAGTTCAGTACTACAGTCTAACATACATGCACTGTCCACTGTGTTAGAAACTCCAGGCTCAGTTCATGTGAAATCACTCAAGATCTACTGACTGACCATGTCAGATCTGCTTAATACTTTAAGGAAATTATTAAGATAGTCTACAAAGTTTGAAATGTGTGTCTACATTAGTTTCTGAGATGTAGAGGCTTTAAAAGTAGGCGTGGCCTTAAATGTTGCCTTTAAATGAGAGGTGTTGAAAAAAAAGCACTTTGTTCAGCACTTTGTTTGTATAACTTTTAAGCTACTGATGCTGGATGTGATATTTTTAGGGGTTATTCTTTATTTTAGTATGTTTAACTGCCAAATAGATAGGAAAATACAGATATATGTTTTCAAAGTTATGGTTTATTGAAAATCTAGAGGGAAAAAAATTGCACATTTAGGCAAATGTGATGCTCTGTATCTCTGCACTGAAGCACATCAGATCTCTCACATTTTGGTATTTATTACTCATATCACTGTACTTTTTTATAGATAGATGATAATGTAATAAAAGTAATAAAGGTTTCTGTTTTAAGCCATTCAGATTTAACACATTGCGCCTACTTGTTAATTATTGCCAGGATTTCACAATATTTAACACTAATTCTTTTTCACAGTCGAATACTGCATTTATTATTTTTTTGTGAAACACAGCAAATGACTGTGAGGCTAATGTTGAGCTGTACGGCACAGCATTGTGGGATATGACTCTTAAAAAAAAGGCCTTATTATTTTAATAAAAAAAAAAAAATGTTTTGAGATTTTGGTATTTTAAATATTTTTTTATTTATTTTTGGTACTTTTAAAGTTTTACACAGGATTAATTTAGTTGTTTTGTTGTGTAGATTCTGGGCATGTTTTTGCAAATTATGAACCCAATTAAAGTGTCTCTAATGTGTGTGTGTGTGTGTGTGTGTGTGTATATATATATATATATATATACATATATATATATATATATATATATATATATATATATATATATATATATATATATACATAGTCTGCAAATTAGTGGATACTGAGTTGAATTACTTTTGCAGTTTTGTAAAGATACAGGCAGTTACTGTACTTGTTACGTAAATGTACAGCAACATAACAGCTACATCACAGTACAGTAATCTCTGTGGAGTCACAGTATGCACATTTTACTGTTATTTACTGTTAATATGGTTTATTAAATTACTGTGAAAGTAATTCAACTAGAAACCAGAAATGTACTGTAATTTTACAGTCAGGCACATTTAATAATAATAATAATAGTAAGTTAAATGTATGTAGCTCCTTTCACAAACCCAAAGGATGCTTTACCAAGCGAAGGGGGGGCATGGAAGTGAAAAAAAAACTAACACTCAGATATATATATTTTTTCAAATATATATTGCTCATGTCTGATAAAAATCTACTAAGAACCCACCCACTACTGTCGCAAACAATCATTTTTTTGTATTCACATCTGGAAAAGTAGCAAATGAAGACTATTAAGGAGTAGTTAGCTTTAAATCGCTGCTATCCACGTCAGCCAGGATGATGTATTGCAGTACCTCCACTAACTCCTCAACCTGTTGGAATCACAGGGAGGCCTAAAGGTTCAGGGGAAGCTGTGATTGGGCGCTTAATTACTCTCTCATTACTGCGTTCACTGCTCATCTGTAGCGTGAAGAGAAACCTTCATGTCAGTCTGAAGTCGTGGAGTCTGGAGGCGTGTAGAGTAGAGCTTTAGCCGCAGCACTGCAGAGGTGGAGGACAAACAGGGCGGCTTTCAAGCTTCCAAAGCAGACCTGTCAGAACGGAAGACAGGGGGCGTTGTGGTGATGGTGATGGTGGTGGAATGAAATATTCATGCGTTTTGTCGCGAGCTGCAGTTGTGGAGTGTTGATCTGCTCAGGCCTTTTGTCTTTCAGTCTCCAGCTGAGCTTTACGCTCTCAGAACCTTCAGCTGGAATGATGGACCGCACAGTGTTTCTTCAGCAGACTCAACCTCTTCGTCCTCGTCTGGTGGGAACGCAGCTTTTTAATCATTAATGGATTCTGTAATCTGTCACTTATGTAACATCACATTTTGAAAGTTTTCAGATATAGATATAGTGTTTATATGAGCCTACACTGCTGATGTTCATAACTCTACATCATTAACAGTTCTAATCTGATAGTAGGAAAACCTTATGGTGCAAAATCAAACATTTCCACTGTGGCTGGATTTTATTTATTTAGCACTGTCAGCTATCAGTTGGCTGACCACCCTTCTAAAAAACAAGCATCCTTAAAGTTCATTTCATTAAGTAAACTTAAGTAAAGTTCAAGTATGCTTCCCAAGTATACTTTATACAGTAAGTATACTAATATTAATGTACTGGTAGAGTAGTTGTAAGTGTACTGTTTCAATACTTCTTGGGATTAAATTGGCCCAATTTTTAGTTTATAAAAGAAAACTTTAATTATACTTTAGTTATAAGAGTAGTAAACTTGTAGACAACCAGTTTACATATAAGTTTTATTTTGTACTGCAACTGTACTGTGAACTACACTAAAAGTGAACTTCTACTGTTCATTTACTAGTTTTATACTTCTGTCCGACATTTTAGTTTATGAAAGTACACTTTAAAGTAAACTACTAATAGTTTATATATAGCAATTAAGTAAAGTTAACTAATATGAACACTACCAGTGGATCTTTATAAATCATAATCTTCAAACAAATATTGAGTTTAATGAAGAAATATAAGGACAGCCTCTCTGAAATCAGTCCCACAAACTGCCCACAAACAGGTTATACTGCTTTACAATTTGCATAAAAGATCAGCTCCACAAATGTACTGTTTACTCTAAGCTATTCCACCAAACTACAAGCCAAGTATACTTAAACTTTATGAATAAGGTAAGAATGCTTACTCACACCTAAGTATATCTTGATCAAAAGATTAAGTACAGTATAGCCCAAATATACTTAGACTTTTCTGTGTACTTGTCAGTATAAGCCAAGTGGACTTAAGTATAATTTTGTTCAGTATGTCTCAGATAAGCACATAAAAAGTAAACTGAATTCATACTCACTTATTTCTAGTTCAAAAGCAGTAAACTTACAGCGCACTTGAATAAACCTCTTTTTTGTAAGGGCAGGCCTTCAGCATATTGCAGTATGAGAAGTGATTGAGAAAGGAAAGGAGAGAACTCTGAGAACTTCTGCTTTAAGCTAGAAGACCAGACCACCTCTTGATAAACAGAGGTAGAACTGAGAGACAACTAAGGAACAGGGAGGAGATGGGGAGTTGGTGGGCTGGTCACCGGAAACAGACTGTAGGGATGAATGTTGATAGAACATTATATAGGAAGCATGAGGTTCTTCTGTTATGGTCCTCCTCCCGAACTCTGGTTATTTAATAGATTAGATATTATTATTATTTAATTAGATAGGAAGTCAGAAGTGTTCTGGCGTGGTCCTCCCCCCAAACTTTAGTTATAACACCATTTACAGTTTTCTAGCTAATGCTAAAGCTTCAGCATAGATGCTCTCAAGAGAACAGGCTCACATAAAGGGGCATGTAAGCATGTTAAAACTGAGAGAGGTGTCGTTATTGAGTGAGGAGAACAAAAACAGGCTAAAATATGGTGCTGCTGCTGCGAGTCGTCTCTGACTTTACATCTACAAGGTAGACCAACAAGGTGGGAGGGTTCAGTAGAATGGACAGTGAGTGGACACAGTGTTTAAAAACTCCAGCAGCACTGCTGTGTCTGATCCACTCGCACCAGCGCAACACACACTCACACACCACCACCACGTCAGTGTTACTGCAGTGCTGAGAATGATCCACCACCCAAATAGTATCTGCTCTGTGAGGGTCCATGGGGGTCCTGACCACTGAAGAACAGGGTAAAAGGGGGCTAACAAAGTATCAGAGAAACAGATGGACTACAGTCTGTAACTGTAGAACTACAAAGTGCACCTATATAGTAAGTGGAGCTGATAAAATGGACAATGAGTGTAGAAACAAGGAGGTGGTCATAATGTTATGCCTGATCGGTGTGTGACGACAATAGTAGATAATTCGCTCATATCCTCAGAGACACGTCCTTCACCAAGTTTAGACTGAGTTCTCTTTGAATTCTCTTTCAATCATCAGATTCATCCCCTTAGGGAAGGGGTTTAAAGCACAACCTTAAAAATTTTAAAGGTACACACACTGCATTCACTTTCAGAGAGGAAGGGGGCATGTTTGTACCTTTTTATAGCATAATATGAATGTGAAAAAATAAAATGTATGGAATGAAGACTCAGAGTATGAAGTCAAAGCTAGGGGGATCAGACATCCTCTTTTTCCAGGACGTCTCCTCTTTTTGCAGACTAAAAACCCAGGATTTCTGATTGGCCTAAAAGGTTCAGGATTTGGCTTTCCTTTTATGTTGTTATTTGCCTTCTACAGCCCCTCCTGCCCACAGTGCCCTCTTTTTGCAACCCGAAATATGAACAATGCAACTTAAACAATGTAACTGTAACAGAATATGGTACAGTTATGTTCTTTAAAGGGGCTGAAGAAGCACCCTTGAGGTCACCACCTGGGAGTGTTTGCACCCTGAAAGGCACAATTTTTTTTCTAAGTGTAGAAAACAAACCAAGCCCAGCCTGAGCCTGAAAGACTGTCACGAACCCGACCTGAAACTCGGGGAAAAAAAGTGTTTTTGGGTTTGGTTGAAGGCCTGTAATCCGTGTCTAACACTGTGTCTTTCTTTGTTTCAGGTGTATCCTGGTCTGATGGTAACAGCAGGACTAATCCACTACACTCTGAATCTGCTCCACATCACTGTCCACATCCGGGACGTTTGTGTGTTTTTGGCCCCCGTGTTCAGTGGACTAACAGCCATCTCCACATTTCTTCTGACGGGGGAGCTGTGGAGCCAGGGCGCCGCCCTGCTGGCTGCCTGCTTCATTGCCATCGTGCCTGGATACATCTCCCGCTCCGTCGCCGGCTCATTTGACAACGAGGGCATTGCCATCTTCGCCCTGCAGTTCACCTACTACCTATGGGTGAGTGACACCTTCTGTAGACCCCAAAAACATCTACTGTAGTAGACCCCAAAAAAGTCTATTCAAGTAGACCCCAAAAATGAAATTATGAACAGTGAAAATGAGCATACTGGTCCCCTTTAAAACGTGTAAAATGACAAAATACAGTTTGAGTTTATGCAGTGATGTTGACTGTTGGCTATAAATCCTCAGGCTGATGATGCTAATGAAACACTGTAGATGAGCAAAGTGGATGGTTAGAGTAAACGAAGTGAAATGAGACGTTTTGACGTGTTTTCTTGTCTTGTTAAGGCAGTGTGTAAATTAGGCAGCCACTCCAATCTCTTTGATTTACACTGAAATTTCTTATCCTGTATGACTCATAAACTTTACGGGTGTCGTGTGAAAATTACATTACCCCCTCCCCCACCCATAGAGAACTAATCCCACCCAAATACTAATAACAACAGTAAAAGCTTGTTTGCTGAAGAAAAACTTTCATTTTCCAGGTTTTGGAAAGTGCAGTACAGCAATTCACTTTCTCCAAAGATTTTTCCAGAGCAGATAAGCTGAGAGATAAAACCCAGTGACCTCCTGCTCTCTCTCTCTCTCTCTCTCTCTCTCTCTCTCTCTCTCTCTGTCTTTGGACTTACTGGACATATTGTCACTGTTACTGTTTTAAAGACATATTCAGCTCCATAAATATTTGCACGTTGACAAGCTTACTGTAAATTCGCTCTCTACCACA